GCAGAACAGTAGGAAACAGGTGCTATGGAGGGCGTAGTGGGTAAATGGGGGAGGGTAGGACTTTTTAACTGGAGAGGGGCCGGAGGAGGGTGAAACAGGAGGAGAGGGAAGGAAAGACCATTAGGATGCTTGATAAGGCCATAGGGAAATGTATCATTTTCTACTGAGATAGATAGATAGATAGATAGATAGATAGATAGAGTTGTTACTTTTAAATGGAGTTAGTGGTAATGATATTCCCCCAAGAGTCAAGCACTATCTAACAAAAGTCTACTTCCAGGAATGGGAAACTTCCCAACTGAGTTGTTGGTCAGAGTCTCCATAAAATCACTTTGACTATTGGCTATTGCCATTACTGTTGGTTGCCTTCCAGAACTTGAATGTCAGACCATGTTGCTGAAGTTATCACACACTTCAGTCAGAGCACTTGTAGGAATTGAGTTGGAACTGAGCTGGACACCTCCTTTCAGAGAGCTGGCTCTATAGTATCCAAAGTTGCCATGCAAGATGCCAAGGGAGGTGAGCAATCTGTAGTAGTCTAACACAGCTGTAAAGCCTGTGAAACACAACTATGATCTGCCTAGCAAAATATCCTGCAGGGTGTGAAGGTGGCACATTTATCTTGGGGATAACAGATATTTAACTTGACTTATGATCCACTCAGTAGGACGAAATTCATGCCTGGTACTATACACCTAGCCAAGTACCTATAGCTGGAGAGATCACAGACCTGAGAGGAATATCTACTACTTGCATTTTCCTAAACTAATAGAATATATAACTATATTCAAAATCTTATCTTTATACCCAGATAAGTATAGCTATCACTTCTCATCAAACAGGCTTTTTTTGTTGGTTTGTTTTACAAGACAGGGTTTCTCTGTGTTGTTTTGGAGGCTGTTGGACCAGCCCGCCCTCGAACTCACGGAGATCCGCCTGCCTCTGCCTCCCAAGTGTTGGGATTAAAGGCATACGCCACCACCGCCAGTCTCAAACAGACTCTCTCTCTCTCTCTCTCTCTCTCTCTCTCTCTCTCTCTCTCTCTCTCTCTCTCTCTCTCTCTTGCTCTCTCTCTCTCTATAACAGACAGTGACCACTATAGAGATTCACAACTGGTTAAAATGTAGGGGATAATGGGATGTGGGTTGCCTATCACAAATTTTTACATCAGTAACATAACCCCTATACCTATACCTAATGCTCAAAGAAAATCATGGAAGGTGGTAAAAGCTAGAAGTCCAAAATGTCTCTTTCTAGATAATGACCCCTAGCATTAAAGGAATAATGCATCCATGAAATCTCAATAACATGATTTCTTGAAAAGAATAGCATAATGACAATCTTAGTTGATATGACTTCCAGAGGAAGAACTATAGATGGTCAATGTCTGCCAAGAGGGAGACTTAGTTTCTTCTGGCGACAACTCTCACATAAAATGTCTAATCTCACACGGTCAACTTACAATTAATGGTAAATGGACTTAGGGTGTGTGTGTGTGTGTGTGTGTGTGTGTGTGTGTGTGTGTGTGAGAGAGAGAGAGACTATACATATTTATATACATGAAACAATATTAAGAGGATTGTGGGGATGGGAGGATTTTGGTGGGATAATGCAGACATGTGCTCATATAGAACGGTCTCAAACAAATTATAAACAGGAAAACAATTGTCTGAGGGCTACAGAGATGGCTCAACAGTTATGAATACTTGTTGCTATTGCAGAGGATATAGCTTGGTTCCCAACACCCATACATAGTGGCTAATAAACATCTCTTACCTCCAGTTCTAGTGAATCTAGTGCCCTACCCTGGCTTCTGGACACACCAAGCATTCAATTGTGTATGTACACACATGTAGGCACAAACTAGAGTCATTTGGAAGAGGGAACCTCAGTTGAGAAAATTCCCCTATTAGATTTTCCTGCATGCAAGTCTGTATTTACTTAATGATGATGGACCTAAACCACTGTTGCCACCCCTGGTATGGTTGTCCTGGGTACTATAAGAAAACAGGTTGAGTAAGCCTTGAGAAACAAGCCAGTAAGCGATGCTCCTGCAAGACTTCTCCTTCAGCTTCTCTCCTGCTTGAGTTCTTGCCATGGTTTCCCACAGTGATGGACTGTTATAAGGAAGTGTAAGATAAAAGAAACCCTTTCCTCCCCAAGTTGCTTTTGGTCCTGGTGTTTTACCACAGTGATAGAAACTCTAGGTCACCTCCTAACTGGCTCCCTGAAGACTAAGGGAGGTATCTCTCTCACCTTGACGTCTTATGTTCCTTGACCCCTATGATCAAGGCTTTAGAAGCCTAGGGTTTGGAGGCCGATACATGGAAGTGAAGCTAGTATTAGCATGGGAGTAACTTCACATTCATTGAAATTCAAAATCAGTAATAAAATTTTTGTATGTAGTAAGTATAATAATGATTTAAAAAGAAAATAAATCAGAAAATACCTAATCTAATTGAGCCACCTTGTTACGTGAGCTTTCTTGGCCTGGCTAGTCACGTCGCCCTTCTCTGCCCCAAAGAAGCACACAGACACTATATAGTTATAAAGCCGTTGGCCTCAGGCTAAGGTTTTTTTTTTTTTTTGGAGGCTGTCGGTCCAGCCTGGCCTCGAACTCACAGTGATCCTCCTGCCTCTGCCTCCCGAGTGCTGGGATTAAAGGCGTGCGCCACCACCACCCAGCCAGGCTAAGGTTTCTTATTCTTAATCATTAACCCATTTCTATAAGTTTAAGTATCTCCATGAGGTCTTATCTTACTGGAGAAAGGTCAAGGGCCCTCTTACTCCTCTGTTCAGCATCTCTGCACAGAAAGAGCAGAACATGATTTCCTGTTTGCCCCTGTGTATATTCTGATTCTGCCCAGCTATTTCACTTCCTGCCTGGCCAATCAGTTTTATTCATTAACCAATAAGAGAAACATATACATAGAAGGACTTCCCTCATCACCCCCTAAGAAACTTTAGAAAATTGCATTCTAGGTTTAGGTTGATATTTGTCTATGTGTGCTTTTAGTTGGCAAAGAAAAGGTAGGATGCATCCAGAAGTGCCAAACAGAGTTAACAAACTGTGACCCAAATCCAGCCCTTTGACTGTTTTCATGACATGTGCACTAAAAATGGACTTAATTGTTCTGGGTGTGGTGGTGTACATTGGCTTCGATCTCATCATTTCCCAAGTGCTATGTGATAAGGTTTAGACAGTGCAGTTCACATATTTTCTTCACAACTGAAGAAGGCAGACACATTTAACTTCACCTCTAATCATGACTGAACCCATCATCTATTTGCTCACTCCAAAGACTTTGGGATTATCTTGATCTTTTCTTATTACATTTTTATCTTTTGTTTTAAATTTTAGTGTTTTCCTTTTCAATGCTTGTATTAAAGTGGCCCCAGTGAGTTAGTGGTCTGGTCATGCTTTTCTTACCTCATTAAAGAAAGGCCAGGGTGTTTGCAGTAACTTGGTGCTGTCTAACATTTCCCTCTTTCTGTTTCAAAATAATAATAATAATAATAATAAGTAATAATGAGCCTTTTCTTCTTAAATAGTTGGGAAAAAAATCAAAAGAGCCCTGTTGTTGTGGCTCACACCTTTAACTGCAATACTCAGGAGGCAGGAGTAGGTAGATCTCTGTGAGTTTAACGTCAGTTGGTCTATAGAGCAAGTTCCAGGACAGCCATGACTACACACAGAGAAACCCTGTAATGAGCATTCTTCCTGCCAGCTTGGTCCCAGAGCCTCATCAGTCCCAAATGAACACACAGGACGCTATATTAATTATGAAGCTGTTTGCTATGGTTTCTTATTGGCTAACTCTGACTTAATTATTAACCTAGAGTTACTAATCTATATATTTTTACAAGGACTTATCTTTCTGAGAATGCCAGCCTCATGTGTTTTCTCTTCCCTGGGACCACATGGTGACTCTCTACCCTATACTACATTTCCCAGAATCCCCCTCAACTCCTAGTCCCACATATCTTGTTTCCCCATTGGCCAACAGTGCTTTATTTATCAACAAATAAGACAAACATATACATTGAAGGGCTTCCCCCATCAAAACCCAGTTTCAAACAACCAAAAAAAGAAAATAAATCAATCAAAGGAGACTATTTTATAACACTTGGGAATTGTGTGAAATTCCCATTCAATGTCCATTGATACTTTATTGGAACTAATCAATGTCTGTGAATTGATCAGTAGTCTATGGCTGTAACAGCGATTTACTTTTGATTATAGCCAATGTCTGGCACCCAAAGATCAAAGTCTTTCCTAGAGTTAAACCTTTGCAGAGAAAGCTTTCCAGTTCCTGCTTTAGAATAAAAGGCCAGTTAGGTTCAGGCATGATGACTGTCTTATCAACTAATACAGCTTTTCCTGAAAATATGTGCACAGTACAAGTGTATTCAAGTGTTATGCATGTTATGCCACTTTCCCCCTGAGCTGCTGTGTTGACTGTGTAATGTGCAAACTTTTTTTAGAGGTTTTAAATAATGAGTCTATGTGTCCAAAAATTAAAACCACAATGACTTTTAATGTTATAAGCTTCCATTAAACTGATCATCTCTGTCAAAGAATTTGCTTTTAGAAGCAGGTTAACTGCATTAAAAATGTAATAAAGGTTAAATTTTGATTTTGATGTGCAGTGATTTTAATCAGCATTTATTTGAAAAAACTACTAAGTTCCATTAACAAAGCATGCTTAGTTAACATGCAAGAGTTCATGGGCAGTGGGTGCACCTAATCTCATGCCATTTTTATAATCCAAGAAAATAAAAACCAAGGGTACATACTTTCCTATCATAGAAGCATACTGTGTTTCTTTGCACACTGAAAGCAAGAAATGGAAAGCTGAGTTGGATGTGAAGAGTCCATTTGTTCAGGTCGGTTACAGACTGAGGTTCCAGCTGATAAACCGGACTCTCTGTTTCTCTGGCAGGAAGGGTTCTCTTTGGTGGTGTACAGTCAAATACTCACTTAGTTTCATTTGTTTTAGGTGACACGGTAGCAGTCGCAGAAGCATTTTGACCCTGAGGGACATCAGGATGCAGAGCCCTGTGTGGATTACCAGTCTAGTGAGAACTCACGTTGGAGCTCAGAAATTCACAGCTGCAATCTGTGCGTCATGAAAAGTGGCATTTATCTGACTGCCCTTGCTTTCTCTGCTTTGTGATCTGATTGCACTGAACCTCAACTACAGATGGCCACTCAGCTGATATGTTCTGACCCCAAGAGGAGTACAGCATGAGCAATACTAGAGGGAAAGGAACATCGGAGGTGCCAGAGTGGAGCAGCCCTGGCGGAACCTGGCTGTTCACTTTCTGCCTTTCCCAAGGAATGTGGACAGGAAGTACAATGGGACCCCATCTGTTCCTCTTTCCAATGTGTCCTTCGGCCACCATACGGAAGGTGTGAAGGGAGTCTAAATGACAGAAGATTTGGCTAACATATATGTGTTCAAGATTAAAGAACTCAAATTATCTCATGTGGAAAATTTATGAACCTTGGAGAATGGAAGCACTTGTTGGGTTATTGTATGTGCATTTGTATTTTTTACTTTTGATAATTTAACACAGTTACCTTTTTAGTCCATTCCTGCATTAGCAGAGACACAGCAGAAACATTTTAACCTCTGTGCACGGTTGACTGAGTCCTAAGGGAAACAAACTAACACCAGAGATTTATAACCAAAGCTTTCTCATGACATTCACAAAGGAAAATAAATATGTTGGGGTTTTTATGACGTGGGTGTAATCAGATAGGAAAGCCATTCAAAATATAGGACAATTTCTGTTTAGAGTAAGGATGGTTTCTTAGATCCACTTAATGCCAATTATGTGGAAATACTTTGGTTATCTCCTAGAAGTCTTTAAAGGCTAAATATTTACATTACAGATGATGCTAGCCTAACATGATTCTTTCTATACCCATTTGACAGCTTTCTTACTTCTTTAAACATAAATAAAACTTCAGTCATCTTTCCTCTTGTTTCAATGGTTTTGTAGATGCTATCATATATAGAAACATAAGAAACAAAGACAAGTTGGCACAATTTTGGAAAGCTATGTTATTTGTGTACATGCTTCTGTAATATGGGATTGAATGTATATACTAAGAGATGTCAAAAATATACCTGCTGTGCCAACTGTCCCTGTCCTTTCACAATTACAAGGAGAAATCAATTCCATTATATTGTCTATAGTGGTATCAATTATTTGATTTTGTTCTTGCAGAAGGAATGGAAATGGGTGCTACTATTTATTGGTTAAACTTTGGTTTGAATTTGACTTACTGGGTGCCTACCAGAATAGTAACTCTCATATGAATAAGTAAAATATTATGATGTTGATGGCATATAATATCTTGTGATTATTCGGTTTACGACACAAGCTTGCAAGTGTTCTTTTAAACATAAATATAAAATTGGGTTAACTTTGGGTATATGACTAATTTAGGTCACTTCTTAATCTTGTCTCCAGTGTGTACAGCTTAGAAAAGGAGTGCTGAGAAACCAGCCCATATCCATAGGGTTGGGCACATTTATGATGTCCTGTGTGTCCTCTGTTCTAGCATAAGACCTTCTTTTGTTAAAGGGCTTTAAAAATGTAAGGAGATTTTGCAGCACATGAAGCACCATGTTAGTTTGTAACCCTCACATTTGATCAATCAGAAAGCAGAGCATGCGAGGAAGATGCTGCTTCACCTTGGGGAACGTTTTTAGGGACTATTTCCAGGGAATAAATGCTCCATTAGGGAAATGGGAGGCCCGGAAAGTGCTATGCCATCCACTATTACTTCAATATGTGCTTTTTATGTAGTTCAAAGTGAGCCATGAACTGGAGCCCCGAGGCACATCCTAATGTTATCATCCCCTCTTTTGTAGGAAAGTAGGTAGGGGATATCGCTGTGTTTTTAACAAATTTTAAAAAATCAGGATTCTAAGGGAGAGGTGCAACTTTCAATCAAGTACCCCTTAGGTAGACCTTAAGTTTTTTTTTAAGACTCTTGAAACACACCCCTGACCATCTAGTGGTGTACCTCAAGCCTCAATCTAACAAAACCGGTGACCAGTATAAATTTACAGTTTGCCCTCATGTGGTATTTCACACCTTTGCATCACCTGCACTTGGAAAAGAAAGAACAATATATTCAGCAAATCTAACCTCCCTGGATTGACCTGACTTACTGTGATAGTATTTTTATTCACATACAGATGATTCCTGGGAGATCTTTATGAATATTTCCATTCCACCGAGGAGGATTTCAGACCTGGCAATATTGAACTTGCTCAATTCACACAGTTAGCTCATATCAAAAGTGAGTGACCATGATAAAAGTATAGCAAACTGCAGCCTTAGTTTTCTTTGTGTATCTTAAAAATGACACGCACTGTTCCACCTTGCAACTGTCACCGGCATGGGTAAGCCTTAGCATCTGGCTGCATGTGGTGAAGTTTGTTCCTGGGTTAAAAATGTTTACAAGCTGTGCCTGCATGCTTTGCTACCATCTAAGATGTATCAATACACTGATAGTGAGCAAACTGGTAACATTTAAAGTGAGACAAATATTCATAGCTGGTTTTCTACTTGAGTCGAAGTAACTATTCTTTGTCATTTAAAGGAGATTATTAGCGTGAGAAAGCATTACACATACCGAACTACCATGGGGTTAGACTTGGCCTCTAAGCTGCCTATAAAACTACACACACTGCTGTGTCCACTGTCTGGTCACCAGGAGCTTTGGAGGGAACCTGGCATATACTAGTGGCATAAATGTTAATAGCTATATCCTTCCCCCACCTACTTTTGCCATCACTTGTGTAGCTAGCTCTCCTCATTTGCATTTTTTGCTAAGCCTCTTACATTTGCTTTCAGAAGAAATTGCTGCTATGCAAGACTGAGGTCCAACTCCTGAAAATGACAGCAGGACAAAGCTTACTTAGTACCAAAGTCTAGTTCCCAAATGGCCTCTCCAGGTCTGCGAGCTAATTTTGCACATAATTGTGGGCTATGCGGCCCTCATGGGCAAGGACAAAGCCAATGCCATGCTCATGACCACTTCCACCATGTAATGCCTCTCTGAAATCAGCAAAGCATCATTCAGAGCTGTAGGTCAAGTATTTGGACTCTTATACACTAGGGGTAGCAGGCTGCAACTCATGGGTTAAGTCTGACCAGCTTATCTGTGTAAATACAAAATTACAGAACCAGCCACATAAGTCTTTTACATATTATCGCTGGCTACTACTGCCCTACAAAAGCAAAATAAACTGGCTGTAGTAAATATTTTATGACATGCAAGGCCTAAAATATATTCACTGTCTGGCTCATTGCAGGAGTTTTCCAGTCCTTGTTTTATGTAATAGGAAGTCATGACCCTTCAAACAGTTCTTCAGAACAGTGCAGAAGAGCAGCAGAAGGCTTAAGTGCTGTGGGCAAACGAGATGCTTTGACTAATGCTGCTACTGTTTATTGCCACGGTTGTACCCTCCCCACGTTTCAGTTTCTTGAAATGGGCACATTGAGACTATCATCTACCTGTCACCCTTCTGTCTTAGAGAATGGTTGAGATGGGGATGTTTACAAAGATACAGAGCTTATTTGTTGTAGCTGTGGAGTTCAAGGCCATAGTGGCGGCATCTGTAAAAGCTTTGACACAGTGTAGGGCATAAGAAGTACCAGGCTCCAAAGACATGACAGCTCCGACTTGTAAATTACACTCTCAAAGTAACTAATCCAGGCCTGTGAGAGCAAGGGCCAACACTAGCTGAAACTGTCTGGTTTCCTGATCTGTGTGGCGGAATTAGACCTTAAGTCTAGTGCCCTACATGTGATAGGTGAGCAATCTGCTGTTTTTGCTAACAACCTGGTCACCTCCCAAAGATGCCCATTGGACAACAAAATGGCAAACAAATGTCAACATGATTTTCACTCAATTTCTAGCCAAAAGGCTGAGGGTCAATCAGCATGCATTTAGACATGGACAAACCATATTCAAACCACAGCAAGCAACCTCATACTTTTTGTTTTAAAAGACGGTGGTGTAACCCACCACAGTAGTTAAAAAAGAATGTATCGTTACATGATCAACTTTTCCAGTACTCTTCCTACAAACACCAAAACAGACAGCCCTTCATTTAAACCGAGGCCAACAGTCTAAAGGCTGACGTCATGGCTTACAGAAGCCTGGACATAGACAAGGTGAGGCACTTCAGAATTTCTCCTTCTGTCAAAGACAGTTCAAACTTGGAGACAGTGAAGGAGGACAAGCCAGAGGGATGGTTCTCAACCCATGGGTTGCTGCTCCTTTGGGGGAGAGTCAAAAGACCCTTTCATGGGGGTCACCTAAATATCTGGAAAATACAAATATTTGCAGTATGATTCATAACAGCAGAAAATTACAGTTACGAAGCAGCAAAGAAAATAATCTTATAGTTGGGCTCACCACAACAGGAGGAAATGTGTCAAAGGGTCGCAGCATCAGGAAGGTTGAGAACCACTGAGCTAGAGGGACAGCGAGCTAGAGGGACAGCCTAGCCAGTAAAACTTCTTGTGACCTTGGTGGCCAATCTGACAGAAAGGCAGGAGGGACACAAATTATCCTGACTTGAGTCTGGACTGGGCACATAAAGAATAAAACAAGGACTGACTCGGTTTTTCCAAATTCACCCTTTAAAACCCCCGCTTGGGTCCAGCTTCCCGGTGAAAGGAAACAATCGGTTCAAGTTACAAAGTAATCTTGTAAACAGAAACTTTGAACAAAAGAGCCCGGTAAATAATGGATGAGCACTTACTGAAGTATGTTGGGCAGTCCTCAAAGTATTGATTCAGTACTGTGAACAAAACAGGCTCACAAGCTCTTCCTTCAGTCTCTTCCTCCCTGCTCAGGCCCATCAATATTCGCAGCCGCTCACATGCTGGGAATATATAAGGCAGTCTTTGCCTTGTGCATCGGCCTTTGCTCTCTGTAGATCAGGTCTCCGACCCATCTTATAATGATCACCTTTGATTCTTTTAATAAGGAGTTATCAAAATAGTTCAAGACACTGAATTATTAATTTAATAACTGTAATTAATCACCAGGAAATGGAAGTGAGCAAATGAACTTCAATCGTCTGAAATCCTACTTTCAGTCATGCAGTTGTGGTCTCTACAATCTCCTGCCTTCTTCTAATTTTATGTTCAGCACATATGTATACATGTGTATATATACATAAATATATATACATACATACATATATTTGTACATACACATATCTCATGTCTGTAGATCACTGACAAGATTATAGAAAATAAAATCATGTTCTTTATGTTTTGGCACTCTAATAACTGAAAAGAATGCATTTAAAAAGATTACCCATATAGCTGGGTCAGTTGGTCAGCTAGGTCAGTTTTCTAAGCCTGAGGAACTGAGTTTGAGTACCCAGAACCCATGTAAAAAGCAGCATGTGTGCATACGTATACACACAACAATCACTTCTAGTCTCTCACAATACATGGAAGTGCACAGGTTGGCTTAGTGGGGCCCAGGATTGAAACAATCAGGACCATGTTTTGGAATATTTAAATATTTATGAGTGCCATGTGCCTGAAACTGATTCTTCATGTCACAGTAAAGAAACTGTGGTAAGGCCACCAAGTCTCAGCCTGTGAAAAACTTACTGACAACTATCAGAACTGTCAAAGTCAGAAAAGTCAGTATCTGACACTGGTGTGTACTGTTTCAATCACTGTCTCTCCTGATTCAGTGCTGAATCACAGACAAGTGGGACCAAGAGTGAGGGACTTCCCAAGGGAAGTAATGTCCCCACAGAAAGCCAGTGCAGGTGTGCAGGTGGCTTTGCTGCAGGGATGGTGGTATCTGGGCTGAGGTCAGACAGACTAAAGAAGATGGATTGACATGGGTTTGGGGAGGGCTTTTGTTTCATTTCTGATTAGGCACAGACTCATTGGAAACCTCTGCATTTGTAACTCCATTCAGATTTCTGTGGCTCAAAGAGACCCACAAGAGCTTCTCTGCTCATTTTCGATACAGCAGATGCATAAAGACAGTCACTGTGGGAAAGGATTGCTCAGATTCAGAGTGTGACTTAGAAGGCTGAGATTTCCTAGAAGAAAGTATATATAGAATTGATATGACCACCACCACCAACACACACACACATACACACACACACACACACACACACACACACACACACACACACACACACACACACACCACAAACCTCATATGGAGTAGCTCACTCACTATAGTGCCTAAAGGCATAAAGACTTGAGTTTGATCCCCAGGATCCACATTAAAAAAGCAGGGTACAGTAGTGTGCACTTATAATCCCTCCACTGGAGAGGTAGAGGCAGACACATCCCTGGGGCTTGTTGGCCAGTCAGTGTAGCCTACTCAGTGAGCCTGGGCTTAAAAGAAAGATACAGCTGC